AGAGGAAGAAAAGGTAAAAGTGGGTAGGGTGGGGACGCCCGGGTAGCTCAGTTAGTTAAGTGGCCAACTCTTGATTTTGGCTGAGGTCATGACCTCACCATCCGTGAGCTTGACCCCACATAGGGCTCTGTGCTGACAGTGTGGAGCCTGCTTGCTGTTCTCTCTTCCCCTCTAGTTCTCTTTGTCTCCCCCACTTATTCTCTCTTTGTCTCAAAACAAACAAACAATTACAAAAACAAAAAGTGGGCAGGGTGGTCTGAGAGGGCTCCAAAAAGGAGGTGGGGCTTATGTTGGGCTGGAAAGGGAGGATAACTTAGCAAAGTGGAAATGAGGTGGATGGGAAGGCAGTCTTGTGAAAACATGCCTGGGGTCACTGAAGACAGAGCTGGGTAGCTGGAGTTGCAGGTTTGTGGTTGTGCCATGGTAGGTAAGGCTGAAAGGCAAATGGAACATAAACCAGATGGCTCAGCTATCTGCAAAACGGGCCACCGCTTACACCTACTGTGTAGGTCAAAGTGAGTAATAGGTGGGCGATGTCAGGTACTGTGCTGGCACAGAACAGAAGTACAGTAAATGTTACATAAAAAAAACACACACAAAGAAAACAGGCTGGCTTTGGACTTGATTGTTTTCGCAAAGACCGTTTCTTAGTGTCCACTAATTCTTGTTGTACGCAGAGAATGGTTATTGTCTGACTAAGGTGTGTTTATACGGGGGTCTTTGGCAGCTAAGACCACTTCCCCATGAGGTGATGGGTCCCAAAAAGAAGTTACCAAAAGCCATTCACTGGCTTCTCATCGGTTGTGACCGCGCAGCCAGACAATCCAGCATGAACTGCCTCATCTCTCACCTAATGTGGGAATGGGAGAAAACCTCCCCTCCTCAGGGGATCCTGGGTCATTTCATCTGGTCAAAGGAAATATTTGCATTTTAAGACAGAATGGTCTCTAGAGCAGCTCAAAGCTGAATGAGACAGGCCATTTTACCAAAGAGCCAGAAGGCCACCTGGTGGCTGGACTGTCAGGGGAACAGGAGGAAGTAAGGCCCGAGAGGACACCACAGCTTGGGAATGACCTGAGAGCAGGTCCCCCTTAGGAAAGACAACAACCTGTCAGTTATGAGATTTCAAAAAGTTCCTGAACTTTCTGGGCCCTGCTTTCCTCATCTGTAATGAGATAATAGTGTCAATCTCATATGCTTCTTAGATGTCAATACGACGAAGGAAAATCCTGCCACGCTAGGAGGTAGTTTTATTACTCAAAAAGCCATAATTGGAAAATATGAGAATAAAAATAACAATGCTTCTCATCTAGTGAGCGCCAAATCTGCCAAGTACTTGCCTCATTTACTTGTCACAGCTTTCATTTTAGAGAAGCAAGTTAAAATATAAATAATAATAATAATAATAATGATAAAAAAGGCAAATTAGGGTCACGGAAGTTAAGTTGCATGTTCCTGTTACACAGCCGGTAAAGGGTAGAGGCTGAACTTGGAGGAGGTCTGGGATCTGCCACAGGGTCCTCTGCTCTCTTGCCACGTATAACGTGAGCTGTCAAATTAGATGCCTGCATTTTGCACACCTGCTCTTTTTGTTTTTAACAAAAAATCTGAATATGCCAGCCTATCTCATTATGTTAAGGGGAATTAAAGGTTTTTTTTTAATTTACCATATGGGGAGAAGTTTTTGGGGTGAGAGGTTTCTGTTGGGGAGCTGGAGGATGGTAATAGCAATCAAACTGAGTTAAGGTTGTTCATTCCAACCCAGATTTTCCTCCAACGTTCTCACTAGGAAAATCTCTAGAGGGTTTTATTTTTCTAAGGGCTATTATCTCTACTGAGCTGCCTCCGCTGTCAATAGGTCCCCACCTGAAACCCTCAGTGTCAAAGGTTTCTCAGAACTCAGATGTTTTTGGGACTTGGTAGGGCTGACCTGAAAGTACATACATTGTATCTTAGGTAGCCGAGGAGGGCCTGGGTAGCTCCGGTAACCAAACACGTGAAATGTTTCTGCAGTGTAACGCCACCAGTAGGGTAAAAATGAATGATAGATAGTCTCCCTTTAGTTCAGGTTAGGTTTTCTCTCCAAACGAGTCTGGTGGCTGACTGATGAAAAATGTTTGGCTCTTAGTGTTTTGAGTTGCAGAACTGAGGCTAAGGGAGTATGGATCTGCTGATAACGGAAACGACGTCCAGCATCTACTGCATGTTAATCACAGGCCAGGTGCTCTAACTGCATATGGTGTCAGTTCATTCTCAAAACATACGTGACTGCATGGGTGCTTTGAACATGGGCACTATCATTGTATAATTCTGTAATGTATCACACAGGATAACACAGTCGTTACAGAGTACAGAGGGTCTAGCTAGGCTGCCTGGGTTATAATCCCTGCTCTACCACTTTGTCGCTGGGGGACTTTGGCAAGTTATTTTACTTCTCTGTGCTGTTTTCTCATCTGAGAAATAGGGGATAATATTAATTCTTATAGTTTCATAGGGTTGTTGGGAGGACTAGATGAGTGGTTTTGTGAGAAGTACTGGAATATAGCAAGAGTTATTTAACTCTTTGCACGCGGGCAAACTAAGCCTCAGGGAAGTTTAGGAAGTTGCCCAAGAATACTCAGCTGTTAAATGTGGAGCTGGGATTTGAACCTAGGCAATCTAACTGCAGAACCTACCCTCTATCCTACTTTTTGTACTGCAGGCAAACAACCAGTCAAGACACACAGTAGCTACTAATGTAGAAAGATGTGAAAATTGAAGTTGTTGTTTCGAGAATGCTGGGATCTTCAGAGAATGAATGGTAGCTCAGTAACCTAAAGGCACAAATGACTGCCACATGTCAACGTGGACAGCTACTTTCCTCTGCATCGCTAGCTTATTTTTCATTTGTTGGCTTTCATCTCCTTCCCGTTTAGTTAGTCGCTCATGACCTTGTTCCCCACCAGGCAAACTCACCATCAGGGCCCTGGCGGGCAGCAGCGTGCAGCGCCGTGTCCCCGTGGCGGTCCTGGTGGGCAGGGTCAGCCCCAAGCCGAAGAAGCAGGCACAGGGCAGGGGCATCGTGCCGGGCACAGGCCCGGTGCAGTGGTGGGGGTTGCCCAGCATCTACATCAAGGCCCGGGTGTCTCTGGAGGAGGGCTTGGGCCCGGACCAGCCGTCCTGCAGACAAGTAACGACGGAAGCGACGCTCTCGGCGTTGGCGGCGGGAAGTGGAGGCCATGGAAGTCTTGGGCTGAGGAAGAAGGAGAAAAAGGCAGCAGTCAGGGCCCCAGCCTTGCCTGGTCCCTCCCCCACCATCCCTGACATTCCATCTTGTTCCTCCCTTCGGTTCTCCTTCTTTTTGCATCTTCAGGAACAGATGAGGCCTATCCCAACGCTCATCCCTTAACCAAATGATAGGTTTGAAAACAATTTTGAAGTGGGCTTGGGTCACAGACATTTTTAATGTAAAATTTGAGAAAAGGATAAATAATTGCTTTTGAGGCTCACTAGCCCAGGTAAGTTTTAATACGGGGCTTTGAAAAAGACAAATAAGGAATGATGGGGGACATTTTAATCAACAGAAATCTGAATTTAAAAGTCACAGATAATTTCAAATAATGATCTAGAAATTGAATATAATCTACCCGGCAGACAGATGTGGAGGCTTCTCCCTCTGGGACCTGGGGGGAGGGGTTACTCATCAGACCTGCCCCCCGCCCCCCTAAGTACCCCCAGAGCTGTAGGCCCGAGGCCTGTGTTTAAGACGCTCGGAAGAAGGGAGGCGGGAAGGGCGGAGACACTGTAGGCTGGCGGAAATGGCGCACGCCGAGACGCAGGTAAAGGGCGGAAACGCACTTGGAAGGCACGTTACCGGATGTCCTCTCTCTCCAAGGGGAAAGGCGGGGGGGGGGGGGGGGGGGGGGGGTGTTCCCTCAGTCTGGCCTCGGGGGGAAACTAGGGGAACTTAAGGTAAAGGGTCCGTCTGAAACCGTAAGAATGGACGGTAAACGCGAAAAAGGAGCCGAGCAAGGGAGGGTAAGAACGGTGATTTAGAGATTTAGCTTCCCCTCCCCCAACAGGGAAGAGAGAAGAGATGGTTCAGAGATAGATAAGAGAGAAAAAACAGGGGAGATGAAGAGGATTAAAAATCATGGTGAAAATGGAAAACCAAAACTAAAACCACGGTGAGGCCAAGAACTGGGACAAATCAAAAAAGACATGTGTGAAAGACATTGAAAAAAAAAAAAAGTGGGGCGCCTGGGTGGCTTGGTCGCTTGAGCGTCCGACTTCGGCTCAGGTCATGATCCCACAGCTCGTGAGTTTGAGCCCCACGTCGGGCTCTGTGCCAACAGCTCAGAGCCTGGAGCCTGCTTCGGATTCTGGGTCTCTGGCTCTCTCTACCCCTCCTCCACTCATGCTCTGTCTCTGTCTCAAAAATAAATAAACATTAAAACAAAATTAAAAAGAGTAGGACAAGGCAAACTAAAATTTGGACTTGGGAAAGATACAGAAAAAGAGGTAGAAAGGGGAGGTAGAAAAAAAAAAGAGAGGAAGAGAAGTAGGAAGAATTCAGAAACCCAGCATACTCTTTTCCCAATTAACGATACATGTTGACTTCCTTTCCCTCTCATCCCATTTTCAAGCCCTCTATGCCTCCTTTTCATTCCTCTTTGCCCCTGTCCCAGTTGCTAGACATCGACCCGGAAAACCCTGCACCTGCGGTGATGTTAGCGAGCAGCTCTGGGCCTGGTCTCTGCTGCTCCCAGGTGGTCCTTCTGGGTACTGCCCGTGGGAGAGGTGGGAGAAGAGACCAGCCATCAGTTGGAGGATCAGTTTGGGGGAGACACCTGGTGCAGCAGGCTTAGCGGAAAAGGGGAGCACTAAGACCCAGGGACAGTGGAGAATTGCAGCGAGAAGCTGGTGGAAGAGGAGTAGGTGGTGTGTATGTGTGTTGGGGGTTGGGGGAGCCTTCTGGTACCTTGGTAGCATCCGAAACAGCATCAGCCATAACGACAGAAATGGCCAGTCAGTCTCAGGGTATCCAGCAGCTCCTGCAAGCTGAGAAGCGGGCGGCTGAGAAGGTGGCAGATGCCAGAAAGAGTGAGTTCCCTTTTCTCTCCCTTAGGAGTCTGGAAAGAAAATTGGGGTGCGGGGGGGACAGCAAACATTTGAGTCCCTGGGAAAATCCAAGGCCGGGGTGGGGTGGGGGAGAAAGCTGGGGCTGGGCTGGCTGATTAG